GGACGCCATCGATCGATCGTACTTGTTAAAACTTGTAGATTCCATGAAGTTTAGGTGCATCGATGTCTTGAGTGGAAAAGGATGTTGTACTAAGTACTGAGGTAAAATTTCACGAACGAAAGATCAAAACTTCGTGTTTGCCGTGAGTTTAAATATTCTGTACCAATGTTTTTTGTCCAGTGTAAAAACCAATCGTTCGAACTTTTTTTAACATTACTCAGCACGTATACAACGTGCCTGTAATATAAATATACCAACGTATTCGTCTCTTTCATTGGATGAAGCTGATCCTTAACGCGTGTTGATTGGACAAATATTGAACAAGATGCAAGTAAAAATCAAGTGTACCAACCCTTTTTGTCCAGCACTGTATTAATAGAACACAAGTCCAATGGGCGTGTTATTGAAGTTCTCGCCAACATGCCAACATGACTACAGAGGAGTCTCAGCTTGCGCTTCGAGTGTACAAATGGGCAAAGCGCAAAAAGATGCACCCGACTACGATGATGACGCTACTCGAGTACGGTCTTGGCATCCCGGTGGAACGGCCCCTCATTCCAGATGTAAGATTCGACTTCAACATACGTGATGTTGACGCGCACATGTCGTTCCGTGGGGTTCTGCAACTGTCATCCTTGCTGGGCGTTCCTAATGTCGTTATCACTACCAACCGAGATCGTATGGTGGGTGTGGAGGCCATAGCCATTTTGCTCCGACGTCTCCGGTACCCCATCACGTACTACGACATGTTGTCAATGTTTGGCCGGTGTCGCGAACAACTCTGCCGCATTTTCAACTACATGGTGGCCTTTGTGTATCAGCAGTGGGGAGACGTCATTTACTGCAACAAACAAACTGTACGCTCCCGTATTGCCAGCTATGCTACTGCCGTTTCGAACAAGGGCTCACCATTGTGAAATGTCTGGGCGTTCCCAGATGGGACTAAGATCGAATCGTGTCGTATCAGTGCCAGTGCGAATGGTGCAGAGGGTTTGAACCTCCAAAAGCGAATTTATTCGGGCCACAAACGCATGTACTGCCTCAATGTTCAAGGTTTGACCACCCCGGACGGCCTGTGCATCCACTTTTTGGGTCATTGGAGGGTAGCCGACATGACGTAACCTTGCTGCGTGTGAGCAAATTGCAAGAGTACTTTGACGCCAACGCCGAGGTCTTCCATGGGTACTACATTTATGGAGACCCGGCGTATCCAATTTCAAAGTGGATAATTTCTGGCTACAGAGGAAACAACCTGGATGAGCCCAAGCTGCTTTTCAACGCCTCCATGAGTCGTGTGCGCCAAGGTGTAGAATGGAACTTTGGACGTATGAAAACATTGTGGGGTTTTATCACCTACAAGATGCAACACAAAATCATGCTGTCGAATGTTGGAAGTGTCGTCCTTGTCGCCATGTTTATGACCAATTGCAACTGTTGCTACTTTGGTGGGAATCAAATATCGTCCTACTTTGATACTAGTATACAACCACCAACTCTAAGGCTAACATCGGAGTAATTACAAAGTGTTAATTGTGTACTGTTGTGTATAAAATTTACTTTCTACCATCAATTACAGATTTCAACAGGTTAGACACTTTTTCACTCTCAATGTGTGCTAGTGCCAATTGGTGTTCACGTTCAGCCTTTCTGTCATCACGATCCAACTGACGTTGTTTCAAATCAGATTCGTACTTGAACTGATCGAATTCCAGTTGCTTCTCGCGACTTGCCAATTCGCGCTCGCTGTCAGCCTCAATCGCAGCCGCCAAACTGTTGCGACGATTTTCGACCGCAGGTTTCGTTTTCACTTCGTCGTTGTCGACGTCGCTGCGACGTTTCATCGTTTGCATGGTCATCTCTCGTACCAACATAACGCCTTGTTCGATCTTGTCTTTTTCGCCTTCCATTTTTACACGCTTGCTTGCTGCAGTGCTCTTGACTTCGTCCAGCAACGGCAGCAAGTCGTCGAGCAGGGTATGCTTCTCCAACTCCTCTTGGTCGACCCCTGAGAGTTTTGCAAATGCCATGTCAAATTTGCTGTGCTCGTCTACCAGCGCCGTAAACCTATTTTGCACCTTGCGACCGTCGACGACACGATCGAAGTGATCGCAGGCAACCAACTTGTCCGCCAAGGATTGCCAGGACTTCGTAACTTGACCCTTGTCAGCTGCAAAGGGTAGGTTGGCGGCGACTTGGATGAGCAGCACTACGTCTTCTTCGGGCGTCCAGTTGCGGCGTTTGTCGGTGAGGGCCATGTCAATTCGGTTGGTATCTGGGAATGAGATAGGTGCCCATACAAATGGCACATTCTCTGAGAAGAATAACTAGGTTTGGCAGGTTTCCCATAGAATAATTATGTTTTAGAGGTTTAAGATCTGGGAATGGGAATGGGACGTTTGCGAAACTTCTCTAATAGAGAGGTTTCGCCCTTGTCCTTGGGTGTGCCGCTTGGTGGACAACCAACCATGTCATCAAACAACTGTGCAACACGTTGGTATTGACGGGGGAGGAATGGATTGATGGGCTCTTCCAAGGAAATCCCGAACGCTTTCAAAATCAGCTTCGTATGCAACCAAACACGTTTTCACCGCATCTTGTCATGCTAATGGACAAGTGCTTCCTGAATGGGACTATGTCTGTCTCGGCGAAGGAGAAGTTGGCCATTTTCTCTTTGTGGTAGGTCATGCTGCATCGAATCGACAAGCTCAGGAGTGCTTCCAACGAAGCGGATGGACGATTACGCAAGCGTTGGATGAGGTACACTTTTTTCGTGCCCAATGATTGATACGTCCCATAGTTTATTTCGTCGCTTGTACTCCCTCCTACATCCTGTCGTCGTGACTTTGCCAAGCAATGATTTCCCATTCAAAATTCACTCCAACGCCAAGATGTTTCCATTTTTCCAGCACTGCATTGGAGCATTGGACGGAACGCAAATTCCAGCGACGCCACCTCAAGCAGAAGCAAAACCTTTTCGGAATCGAAAGGGCTTCATGAGTCAGAATGTGCTCGCTGTTTGCTAATGCGATCTACGTTTCCAGTATGTTTTGGCCGGGTGGGAAGGTTCAGCTACGGATGGCAAAGTCTTCAGCGATGCTTTGCTCCTCAAGGGGTTTACAATACCAGACGGCAAGATGTATCTCGGTGTGTCTTCGGTGCTGTACACTTTTATGCTGATGAAAAAAGGAGATGCTGGGTACGGACTCAAGGGGAATCTATTGACCCCGTATTGTGGCGTTCGTTGCCACCTTCGCGAGTGGTCGTATGAAAATCAGCGCCCCCAGAACGCAAAATAAATCTACAACCTTCGCCACGCCCAGCAAAGAAATTGGATCGAACGCATCTTTGGTGTGCTGAAGCGCAGGTTCAAAATACTTGAGCGCCTACTTGAGTACCCACTTTCGAGTCTAGTGAACCTTGTGTACGCCCTTTGTGCTTTGCACAGCTTCATCATGGAGCTTGAAAACGACCCGCATTTCCTTGAGAATGCTGACAAAGCCAAGAAGAAGCAAGTCCACAAGCGCCAACGCATACACGCTTACACGAGCGAACTTCGCAGACGACGCCGCGTAATCGACGAAGATCATACGGAAGAAGCAGGTGCACAGCGAGATGCAATTGCAGCGGCGATGTGGCGTCAATACACTAACTTTACTATACGCGTCGTCAAGGGTAGTATTCGATTAATCAATACTTCTCTCTATCCATGCATCTGTATGGGGCAACAGTACCCGTTTTCGACTGCATTACGAAATGTAAAGACTACTACTAACTACTAGTATGTAGTACTTCAATCATCATACGAACAAGATCGAAGTGACTGAATTAACGGTCAAATTACATCATACTATCATACTATTAATAGTAGTACATATACTAGTACTCGTCATGTTCAACCTTCTATGCACAGAACATACTATTAATAGTACTGCATTTCGTAGTACTATAATACTACTATTAGTACTCTTCATATTGATATTGATATTGATATTACGCTGCAAAGTTAAAATCACTCAGCGGACACTTAATGGCCTCGGCCGCGTACTAGCTGCGTTGGCAGCTAGCGAACTTAACTACTTGCAAAACCTAGTTGTGGCGGCTCCAGGGGATAAGGATGCTTAGGCCACTGGAGGAGGTATCCCTGGGTCCGGAGGAAGGTGTGGTGGCCGAAGTGGAGGGTCGGCGTAGCCTACGCGACGGGAGAGGGCGGGTGGTAGTAAGGAGCTCCTTTGGGAGTGCCAGTGGAGCGTCTTGACTGCGAGGTGGGCCCTGCGGGCCCGGATGCGTCGGTCGTGGCCCATGGGGGCGGCATCATGGTAGCGGCGTTTGAGCCGGATGTGTTTACCTCGGTGAGGAGGGTTAGTTCCCCTGCGGTGCGTATGTGGTCCACGTTAGTAGTGCAGGTGGATTGCCAGTGGCGGCGAAGGGCGGCCCAGTGCGCCGTGAATCATTGAGTATGGAGGCGTGGAACGTGGAGGTGGGTAAGGGCGGCTGCCCATACTCGTGTGGTGTGTGTCATGGTAGGGAAGGTTTTCCAGCCTGAGGTAGCTTCGTATATGACTGGAAACTTGGTCGTAAGGTATGCGCGTGTGTCAAGGTCATATTGGTCGTAAGTGGGGATGGAGGATTGGACCCAGTGGAGGCAGTGTGTGGGGGCACTAAGTAGCCGTGGGATGGCTGTCATGGTAGTTTCCTCAGGGCGGAGTAGAGTGGTTGGGGGAGGCCGACGTAGCCAATGGATAGCATCGATGAGTTGTAGTGCTGCTTTCCAGTACTGCTGGGCAGTGGTGAGTAGGGCTAGTGTGTTGCCAGTAGTGATGAAACCAATGTGGATTGGGGCGGGGTTGCCGGAAGCGAGTTTGCCCCAGGGAGGGGTTGGAGTGTGGAAGATGGAGGAAACGTGGCGGAGTTTGATCTGGCCCGAGGGAATGGTGAGGAGCCATGTGGTTTGGAGCTGTTCAGCCATTTCATGGCCACGGGAGCCATCGGGAACGACAAACCAGTAGGTGGCCGGTGTTTGGTGAGAGGTAGCGGCCTGTATTGCCGTGGTTAGGAGGCGCCACCAAGTGGAGGGGTATGGGTTGTGCGTGTCATCGATCCACCAGTGATGGTTTGTTGGGGGGCGGGGGATTACTGTATGCAGTGGGGGGAGTGTCCAAGTCGGCCCTGAAATGTAGCACCATTGGGGCCGCCCATCCACTGACCAAAACAGAAGTCGCGTGGTGCAAGCAGGGGGGTGGAGCGTAGGGCGGTGTGATATAGCCAACGAGGTAGTAGGGAGCCCGGCTTTGGGCACTGGGTAGATTCCCAGGATAGCTAGGAGGTGGCGAGTATGAGGGATTCTGGTCGGGGGGGTCCAAGTAGGCGGTGCATGTGGAGGGCATGGACGCAGCGGTGCGCGGTAAGGGGGATCATGCATGTACCCGTGTTGGGCACGCAAAGCCAAAAAGATTGTAGCATTGAACCCGTCCCCCATCTTGGTTGCCAAATGGGCAATTTTGTCCAGGTCAAAGTGACCGGAGTTCTCGACCAAGCACTCTATCGCCAGAGATACTCTTTCGTGTGGATCATGTTGCAGTTGATTCACCTTCGACGGTCAACGTCGACCAACTTCGAAATCACGTCGCCAGTTTCAGCACCCGCGCTGCGACGGTCTCGCTTGGACATCTGCTTCTTTATCTCCTTGGGTGGGGGTAGAATGTCTTCCGAGCTGTCCGATGCATCGTAATCGCCGGAGGAACCACCTTCGAGAAGTTTTCGCGTGAAAAAACCAGCTCGTTCAGCAGGGGTCTCGACGTTGCTCTTCGGTGTCAGAGAGGCAATACCTGGTGGCACCGTTGAATATCTGCCATCAGCGTACGATCCATCGAACAGCTAGGACAGGCTTTCGTAGAGAGGGAAGCGAGTCGAACGGAACTTTTTGCAGTTGGGATTCGACTAGAAGTGAAGTCAGAATCATTGTGTGATTGCAATCGTATACCTTTATCACAGGTTCCCAGACTCCTTCGGGTGCCGTCGGTAGCCCAAGTTCGCCATTCCATCCTAACCCTGAGATTTCGCGAAGATATTTTGCGTCCTTGTAGTCCCTCTTCAGTTATGCGTGAGTTAGAATGACGATTGTGGAAGGTGTGGCTACTGCATCCATGCGGGAGTTTATCTTTGATGTATGGTACACAATCGGAAAATGGTCGTTGAACGCTGCAGTCACTTCAGCTCACGCTTCCTTCTTGAAACCTGAGTCCGAGCGTTTCCCCTCGTGCCTTGGGCTTGACAAGAAACTCATCGTTCTCTCCACTCCATGACGCTCGAGTGTCGTCATGTCTTGACATGTCCTTCGCGATGATGTTCTCTGAATGATTTGACAGCGTTTCATCGATCAATTTGAAGAGGTAAAAGTATACTTGAATTGAGTATGGACACAAGTTACGTCGTATGGCGGATCAGACGACTAAATTTTGGCTCAAGGACCAATGATATCTCAAAAACTCTCACTGTAGCCCATCGTGGGCTTCGGCTGGGGGTCACTGCAGTTGGCTTGGAGGTGGTCGACTTAGTGGCGGTGATTGGAAAATGAAACGTTGGGGGTAGACGATTGGTTGCAAATTTCTTTGCCAGCTCCCCCCGCATGAGATAGATTTAGCTGCTTCTCCACACGAGTCGTCTCACGAGTTTTTGATTTTGATGTATTCGTCAATGGTGGTCCACTTGAGACCACAAGGACGGCGTAATCGATGACCGCATCACGCCCCCGTCATCTCACTTCTGCTAAACTTTCATTAACAAGTTGTATTCGCTCTGAAGTTGAACGGTAGTCTTTCCACACGGCTTCCACAGCCATCACCTCTGGTTGCTTTACCAGGGCCTTGAGCAGGATCGCTAGTGTATACACGTAATGATCGCCACCTTTGCGTTCTTCCGCTGCTCGAATTCAAAACAGTCCACACCCATGCAGTGCATTGTTGTCCATTGCACGGGTAATGGTTTATCTTGCAAAAACTTTGAATTCCAAGTGGGAAAAAGGACTGCGCCGTCCGGGAATCAAACCCGGGGCATCCGCGTGGGAGGCGGATATTTTACCACTAAACTAACGGGGCACTTCGCCTTTTGCTGTCCCCTGCACAAAATTCGAGTACCCCCTTTTGCTCATTTGAAAATGAACACCACCACCACCGCCGACCCTCGTATGGCCGCTGCCACTAACCCTGGCATCCACGCCTTTCTCCTCCCCGCCACAGAGCGGGTTTCCCCACCGCATACCTCGGGCCTCGCTGGCCCAACTGCTTGTGCGTCGCTTGTCTCGCCGCCGGTGCTGCTGGACGTGTCGCATGACAGCCTCGATCGAGAGGGTCCTGGTCGAGGTCCTGACGGGAATATGCCTCTGTGTCCTGGACTGGTTGCCCGTGACAACCAGGGGAGCAAGCCTGCTGGCCTGTTGACCTCCCAGGACCCGTCGGGCTCTGCGCCGTCGCCGCCGTGCGCGACACATTCTGGTCCATTGCCACAGGACGGAAAGTCGGTCGTTCCTCCCCCCCACGAACCAATCAGCGAGCAGAATGCTCAAATATTGAACACAGCTTCCAACCTTGGTCACTCCCGCGTGACGATCGACCTTGACAATGCTGGGCAGTTCCCTCCTCTGTCAGGTGTTGGTCGACACACCACCAAAGCCCCCCCTAGTAGTAGTACTACAGGAGCCAGTAGTAGTCATACAGGAACTAGTAGTGCTCGTCCAAGCTATGCTTCCACGCTCGCGGGGGCTACAGGGCGCACGAAATCATCGAAATTCAAGAACGTCCTCACTCGGCCGTCAAACGCCATGGTGGAGAAACTCCTGGCTCTCGCCCAGGATGAAACCTGTGACGATGACTCACTTCTGCGTGCCATTGCGGAGGCCACACCGTACAAGCAAAAGGTGGGGAAGGCCACCTTCTGGGTTGAAACTGGTACATCTCTGGCCTCCTTCAAGGATGACCAGATAATCGCAGCTATTTTCGAGGCCAATCAAGACGCTGATTGGGCCTGTCACCTGGACAACTTCGTCATGGTCAATCAGCCCCGTGGGGGTGATTTGGTGGTTACGGTGGCGGAAGAAGCCACCAAGTTGGCCATGATTGGGCAGACTATGCGTATCCTGGACACATCGTATTCAGTGATTACCCCCCCTACTGGAGCAGGTGGC